TCATTCCCACCTCGTGGGACGATGCATCAATAGGGTAGACACCAATATATCTAGAGACAGAGGAATGTAAAATTAATTAAGAGGAATTAGTAGTTTATACAGTGATAAAAAATATCAGCAATTTTAGTGACACCGTTAGTTATTTCATAGAGATATTTATCCTTTGTTAATAGAAGTACCTTGTTATAAAGATCATGCGATCATGAAATTTGACTATATGTTGGGTCGGAATGTTTCTTAAGTGTTTGAATAAAATTGGCGTTTTGCCAAATTAATTAAGAGAAATTTTGCAATATTATTGATGTATTGGACTCCAACGACTATGAATGTTCTTATGAGAACGTCAAAACCAAAATGAAAAAAAAAATCTTTGTATTTTTTTTATTAGGGATTTGTTTTTTATATATATTTTTATTATGGGTTGTAAAACGTTATTTCACTCTTTTTATACGAGGACATCATTACGTTAATTCTAAATAAAAAAAAATCACGTATGAGTTCATTTTTTCTATATTTTACTTCATTTCTGCAATGATATGTTTAATAAATTAATTAATTTATTTTGCAAACTTACTCCGCGAATATCATTCGACACCACGTGCATCGCACGTGCACTTTACTAGTATTCAAAAGTACACACATGTCCAGTGTTAAAACTCTTGAGGGAAAGCTATGCCGCCCTTGTAGTCCTATCCGGCTCGATTCCGAATTAGTCGATTCCCCTGTGGATCCGGAAACCGGAAGGTCCCTGTACCAAAAAAAAAAAAAGTACGCACATGTCTGGTCAACCATTAAATTCACTGAGAAAGGTACAACTGGAAACCGAGGCCAAATTATAGCAGTTCTTAAAATTCAAATTTAAATTTCGCATTGCTTTAAACGTTTTAATAAACAGAGCTGAAGATACCAGTGCAATTCATGTAAGAATAGAAATTTCACGTTTTCATTAACTGGGTCAAATATGTACCATTAGGCCTACAAACGAGTAAAGTCGAGCTCGAGCTTAAGATGATCGAGTTCGAGTTTGAGCCCCTAACGAGTTAAGCCGAGCTCGGTTCGTTAGATAAACAAGCTCGATATCGGCTCGTTAAGGCCACGAGTTCGAGCCTTTACGAACCGATCTTGACTTTAAACAGTCGAACTATAAAAACTATATAAAAATTTTATTTTCAAGCCTTATCAAATCGAGTCGAGCTCGACTCGTTAACCAAACAAGCTTTAAACGAGCTCAAGCTCGACTCGTTAAAGCCTCGAGTTCGAGCCGAACTGTGACTCGTTTAATTTAACAACACTATGTAGAATAAAACTTGATTAGTGTGGTTGATAGTACTAATTAATATGAATCCCATGCCATTACTTTTTTTTTTCTTTTTTATTTTGGTCAGAATATTAGAATATCGACTTTCATAAATAAAACACATATTTACATACTAAGAAAACAGTTGGTAACAGTTGAATGAAACAACCACACACCTGAATCATGTGGGAGGACAACCCATAGACAAACATAGACTACCACAAAATACTCTCACTAGTGGAGATATGATGAAATATATATGTGAAACGCAATGTGAGACACACTTTGTTCAAGAGACCAAAAACTCATGCATGCAGACCAAGGGAATACGTGAGACCGCACCCGTTTCCCCCAATTTCTTACATGGTATCAGAGTCGGTTCTATTAGGACCGTGCGATGACGTACCCGTTTTTCTCCATGTACCCGTTTATGAGAGCATGTTTCTAGTAGGGCTTGGGCACCCACCTCTGTATATGGGCTTGAGATTTTTTATTAAGGACTCACAAGTGAAAGAGCGTATTAGAATATTCACTTGTGAGTTGTACTACATCGTTTATATAAGAAAAATAGACCTAATTTATAAATCTAATGGACTACTTCTCCTTCCATCAATTGGTTTTGTGATGGAATCTCACTTGGGCTTCATATGAGCTTTCCCTGCTTATGGTGCGCTTCACGTACGTGGGACCACACTAATTCCCCCCCCCCGTTTCTTACAGGTTCAAACAATCACGTTTGTCAATGGTTCACATCTAAATAAGTCACGATTTGATCATAAGCTGCCCGAGAAAATGAGCTAAGGTCAACACCAATATGTGTAAATGAACTAAGTTCTGCTGGGTGAAAAGAGTTGTCTGCTTGATATGAATATGAGGCAACGTGAAAAAATGAAGAACTACCAACACCTAAACGACTCTAAATACACCCATTGGACGCCATCAATTGCGTTGAGCTTTGTTGCCCCATCCATGGCCGCTGCTCCAACTCGACTTAAATATTGTGAGTATTTTGTATTTGAAAAAACACTATGATATCGTCATTGGATTCAATTTTCATCTTCGTAACTCGAGGACTTTTATCAAATATGACTCACAATATGTAATCAAAGTTACAAGGATCGTCCTTGAACACGACAAACCACTTGAGAATTCATTTGTGGACCAAAATTAATTATCGTCAACTCTGCCACATCACCTACATGGTTACCCATGGAAAAAGCACTGCTATAGTGCACTGGTAGCCATTGAAGTGTATTTTTTTTAAGAAAGAAAAATAAGAGCTTAATAAGTTTGAAAAAAAAATGCAACATATAATGAGGTCTTCAAAAGCTTGAACAAAAAGAGAATGCAACAGAATGCATGCAGGAAGAACAAAAAGAATTAAATGGTAGTAAATGCAAATATGAAGAAAAAGAGTAAATGCTAAATGATGGTAAGATTTCTGACAAAAAAAA